GATCCCGGGCTTGATCTGGTTTAGTATCAAGATGAGTTTTGAGGTGAGGATTTACTTCTACAGCCCTATTAAACCATTTCAAGTAGAACGTGGATATCACACCCATCTCAAGTAGCAAAAGTTTTATTTATTTTTTGCTCCGGTAAGTATATAAAACACTTCAATCTCCAATGAGAAATAACAAATTCTTTTGACTAAATTAGGAAATGATTGAATTCATCCCGAGTTTCCTTCTTCCGGTCGCCCCTATAATTTTGAGGTTTTTTTCATTTATATAAAAATTTTCTAGGATTGGGTCCGGGGCTAGGTCCAGGTCCGGGTCCGGGTTTGGTTCCGGGTTAGGGTCCGGGTCCGGGTCCAGGTCCGCGTCTGGGTCTGAGATTTGGATCCAGCAGGTCAGGTCTGATCGGGTCGGGCGGGGTCGAAATGACTTGGACCCAACCTGGGTCCAAGTTGGGTCTAGGTCCATCTGAAACATAGTAAGGTCCGGCCCGGTACGGTCCAAGTTGCCACCCCTTTGTTGCCCATCCTTAACCTTCAAGCTAAGGGTCGTATACACTACAAGGTTCTTATCTATCTGGATGCTTGCATGCACCACCTTAACCGTGGCTTGATATGCATGTTGAAACAGTAACAACCCGCAATAAGTAACATGAATATCTGAAACTATATTCACATGGATATTTAACACTACATTGACATGGAAAATTGGAAATCCATGAACAAATCGAACATCACCCATCCAAGTTGAATCCATATTAATAAATCTATATCCATAATTTATTAATTTATGCATATTGAAATACCTAACATGACTCGAAGAATGCATAGCTAAATGAACATATCCAGTAACCATATCCAATAAATGATGATTAAGAAATATGTCTACGAAATAAATATCAGAAACAACATCCAAGACCTCAAAATCAAGAAATACTACAAACCAAATACAATTACTGGAAGAATGACATGGAGCACAAGAACTCCACGTCATTTGCAAGCATAATTTTGGAGGAGCAATGATTTTGACAGAATCATGACAAAGGATCAAGAATCAATGACTCACCAGCATAAATCAGAACATAGCTTTATAGGACATTTTACTAAAAAAGGAAATTCCAAATTTGTCTGTTTAATTCACTGCCAGTCAACTGTTCATATGGGGTGAAAAGGACAATAAAATTTCTTTATATAAGGGCATCCTTTGCGGAACCACCACTTCAGAAAGAATTTTTCTCAAGCTCAACTCTAGGACGTAGTGGGCACGATTCCAAGCGCCGACCTGGAACTTTTTGTGCATGGGAACAATGACATCAAGCGAAGCTACCGCATCAACTACAGGCAGCACAAAGGCTGATAGTCTCAAGAAAGTTTTTGACAACATAATTCATTGGAGTAATTTACCTACTTGGTTTCCCTATTTGAATTTGCAATGTTGTACAATAATCTGTGCTCTTGGACGAATGGAAAGATTATTCACTATTCAGTGTTCATGCTACATCAAACTCCCACTGTCCAGGACCTTCTGATAACTAAGCCACTTCTAACCCAAAAGTACACCTATATGTGATATAGTCTCTCCCTCTCCTGCCCAGTATCCAAACACTAAGGACATGATGGCTAGTACCTTTAGCTGATGTGGTGTAGTCCAAGTGTTGCGACATCATTGTAGGAGCCTATCCTACATTTAACAATTGAAATGCTGAGAAGTCCTTATCAGGTGACTCCAGTAGAGTCACCTGATAAGGATATTTGGATCTGACACTCCTTGGGGATTACATTCAAATAAGATTGGCAATTCATAGATGGGTATTGGATATCGCTCAAAGTAGTGATCATATAGAAGTTCAGCTTAGAGAACGTTTGAACTGGTCTCAAACATTGGGACCTCCAACTCAAAGGACTTCAAGACTAGTACCTACTTAGTGGGTCAGATTGAAAATCTTTAATGTCACAATCTCGTAGCATTTGTCAGGTAACATTGTTATCTTGTGATGATGAAAATCATATGGCTGGAACTCAGATGGTGGCATTTTCAACAGTCGATTAAAAATTAGTGCACCTGACTGCAATAGGAGGACAGAAAGACCCTACTAACTAGGGTAGGGTCAGTTCCCTCCAGCCCGATTCAGGCTGGGCTTTGGTGCTCAGGTTTGTCGGGCAGGCCCCGGGCCAAGATTCCCAGCCTCAGGCCTTAGTTGCTCAGTCCCTTGGGCCTGAGTAGCTTGCGCAAGTCGGACCAGGCCATTTTTAGTTATTATATTATATACATTATATTCTAATTAATACAACATGTACAAATTACCACAATGTCCTCTCATAATTGATTTTGACAGAGCAGTTAGGTCATTCAATGTGATGCTAGGGTTGGGATTGGAAATGAACCCTCAAAACCAGGTTACTAATCACTACGATGACACCACTCAACTAATGGCTATAAACAGAATACCGTAGTATATACAACTAGTTTTTTTATGTATAAAGATCAAAGCCATCCTGACATGGCCCCAAAAATTCAGGCGTGGTCCAAACTTGGCTGTCATGGTTCAGACCGGGATCAACCAGAAAGGCCGGATTTGTTATTGGACCAGGCTGGGCCAAAGCAGCCCATTTACATGGTGGGATTGGACCTAAGCTGAGCCGGCCCAGGCCAAACCCAGTCATCCATCATGGGCGAGATAAATGATGAATGGTACGGAAATTAGAGGAGAGCCAAGAAAACAAGGTGGCGATGATGTATTGCTGCACTTAACAAAATTGCCAAACCAGGTGTACGCTCTAAGATCTGATGCTCAAATGGAACAATGATCGCTGATGATATTCAAGTTATCGATCTAAATTCATAGACTTTCCATAAGGACAGGAAACTTGATTCACACAATAATCCAGGTCTTTCTTTTACTGATATTTTATTGAACAGAGGTAGCTAGCATTGACCTGGATCACTATGATCCAAGTCTAATCTAGCAAAAATTTTGATTCTAAGGATCACAAAGATGAAGATATTTTTATTGACCCAAGAAGTAGCAAAGAAATGTGAAACATGGGATTCAAGAACCTGGAAGATCATGCCTTTGCTGGCTTTCGGGGATTAATGCAAATTTTGGATGCTTTTGTGCAGGGTTAACCATATGACTTCCTCCCTCCCTCCCCGTATTTAACCATATGACTACCTCCCTCCTCCCCACCCACCCCCTGCCCCACCTTCCCTCCACTCCCAACCCTCCTCCCATCTTCCCTCCCTCCTCCTCCATCCCTCTTTCCCTCCCTCCCTCTGTATGTGTGTATGTCTGTGTATTTATGGCCTGGTATCAAAGTTCAAAAAAAACAAAATCAAAAGATTTGTCCATTATAATTATCAGTCAGAGAAAATATTATCCGTTATGCATATTCTTGAATATAATACAATTCCTACCATTACATAAAAATATCGATTGGTTGACATATTTCTAAAAGCCATGTTCCAGTTAATCCCCAGATCAGGGGATGATAATCCAAACAAATGATAAAACACTCAATACAGGAGAAGTATCCATACCAAAAACACAGTTACATCATCAAATCCAGTGTTAAAGACAAAGAAAATGAAATATAGAACGAATCAACTTATGGTCAAAGGACTGAACTAGAGACTTGCAGCCATTTGGGTTAAAAACTAAAAACATCATCAAAGAAATGTACAAGCTCAAGTCATCTGACACAACTTTAACATCAGTGTCTTTGACAGCTTCATAGTGACATGATCCCTGAATAAAAAGTTCAAAATGTCTCCCGTTTACATTCCAATTTGGCAAAAACCAAACACTGACAAGACTATGAGGAACAAGAAACAAAGTTCCAAATTCAAAACCTTCATCGACTGAGTGCCTGTACACCACAAAGCTAATTCAGTTTGCGAAGCTTTTAAATACAGGATACCCTGACCATTCTGGTGGGCTCTACAGTAGAATTCAAAGTTTCTCCACACTTCCATATGAGAGCTCATATATACTTGTAACATGGTGGATCATAAAGAGAAAGATGGGTTTTTGCTATCTATATAATATCAAAGGAAGTAGCCCTCGCGTGTTGTAGGGTCATCGGGACCATGACAAGGCCATCCATTTTTATCCACATGTCTTCTTTCCCTGTATTTGATAACAGCATTCATATGGCTGTCAGGCAATTGGGAAATAGTGAAAGTGCACAGACACCCTCTTTTTCGTCCCAGTCTCCTCCGCTTCCGAACATTTGATTCAGACCTAACATTCTTTTGAACTTGTGCATCACTATGAGCATCCAGTTCTTGTTCAGTGCTCTGAGGTCTATAGTCCTTACGCCCATATGAACACATGTAACTAAAAATGCAATCACACAATAATAAATATGAGTTGAGGACTATGCATGCCAAATATTATTTATGCTCCATGATCATAAAAACCATGTAAAGCATTAGAGGATTTGACAATTGAGTAAGTATGTAACATTTGGACTTACGTAATATCGATCCCTTTGCCCATTTTCGTATTCTTCTTTCGGGTGCTTCTCCTGAAAAAATTAGTGGGGCATTTCTTGTGCCTTGATTCACCATTAACAAAATCATCAACTCTATCGAAAGGAATGACTGCAACATCTACTACCTTTCCTCTTTCTGATATCTGGGACCATGATAGTTTTGATGAATCAAAGTATCCTTCCCCGTTATTCTGAACTGGTAAACTGTAGATGATAGATTTATTGGTAACTGCATTTTCCATGTTTGGCCTGTACATGGCACCATGATTACATAAAAGGTTTCAATTGCAGAGCCTAGTTAGAGCAAAAAACGTATTTGACAAAATCAAAGTATCCTTCCCCCATATTCTGAACTGGTAAACTGTAGATGAGAGATTTATTGGTAACTGCATTTTCCATGTTTGGCCTGTACATGGCACCATGATTACATAAAAGGTTTCAATTGCAGAGCCTAGTTTGAGCAAAAAACCTATTTGACAAACAGCAAGATTCTTACCTAAGGAACCAACGAAATTTTCTTCTACGAATTAAACATACACTCAAAATAAATATACTGTAGACAACCAAAAAAGGAGGAAATACAATAAATTTAATTGAAACATTAAAGTCTTCCGTTGCTTTGAGATACCTTCATTTACTTGTTATGATCCTAAGTGGTTTAAGGGCGTAACTTTTGGCGTTTCCATCACTCAAGGGTTTTGAGGTATATTGGTCAGGTAACTAACATTTGGTATCAGAGCAACCATTGTGACCCAGGTTCAAATCCTAGGAAAGAGCTACCTGTGGAAAGGGCTACCTATAGAAAGGGCTACCTGAAAAAGTGAAAGCCACCATAGAGTGAGAGCCGCGCTGAGGATGTCGCCCTAGGAAAGGGCTACCTATGGAAAGGGCTACCTATGGAAAGGTCTACCTGAATCAGAGTGAAAGCCGCCACAGAGTTGAGAGCCACCATAGAGTGAGAGCTGCCAAGGACGTCAGCTACGGAGCGTGGTGGTGATATGTTACAATCCTAGGTGGTTTAAGGGCCCAACTTTCCCCATTTCGATCACCCAAGGGATTTGGGGTGTATTGGTTAGGTACCTAACATTACTTTGATTCAACAACTTCAGCCTCCCATTGTTGATCAAGAATTTCACTCCACAGATTTTCAAGGATGCAATTTAACTAAAAACAGGTCTCACTAAGTATTAATTACCAGAGAGTTGTTGAAATTTCAATAGTCCCAAATCACACAACCAGCCAGTAGTGGCAGTGAGCATCTGGTTTAAATATGTACGTCCCCTAGGAATGCCATTACAGTACCATGGAGTTTTTTTTTTTTTTGAAGAAGAAGAATCCATGGAGTTTGCATGTTATAACCGGAAATAAAAAAAAAAAAAAAACACAAATTATATTTAACCACCATTACTCTTCCATTGTAACCAAATTTAAATTAAAAGGACCTCAAAGTGAATAACAATGACTGCTGCATAGAATATACAATAACGCAACCAGGTCGATAAAATCAAGAAAACAAGCCAAAGGGAAAACTCATAGTCTTAAAAGACTCCTTAGCTAAAGCAATTCAACCTCAATCCACACCAAAATCCCATTCTAGGGTTTCTGTTCGGTCCCCAAAACCTAGTAAGGCAACTTCTTTGAAAACCTAAAACACCACCAATCTTCAATCCAGCACCAATGTATACCAAAAAAACCAAAGAAAAAAATAGAATAACATAGAATAAGAAATGACAGAGGAAGTTACACAAAGAAAGTGAAGATGTACTGAACCTGGTAATCTCTGCTTGCTCTCTTATTGAAATCCCCAATCAACAGTTGAAGAAGAATAAGTAACTAAAAAGAGAAATGGGGTTTCAATTTTCAAACCCCGTGCACTTCATCTAAAACGGGATCTAGATAGCCCCGATAAAAAATTTCCATATCTACAAATTGTAAGAGAAACGATTTGTCTCCATTTTCAACGGCTCTTGCCGAACAGTTACTGACCGGCTCTGCATTTTAGCATATAGTTACTGAATCGTTCTCCATTTTAGCACTTAGTGTTTTTGGTTGGGAAAAATTATGAAGAAAACTCACTTTACGAAGAAATCTCATTTTTATTATGGCCAAGCTTTCTATGCTGGCCTTCCAACATAAAACTCATATACTTCCCCTTATCCAACCTTCCATTCTGTATGGAGGGTTTAGATTGCCCCAATCAAAATGTCACGTTTTTACTCTATTTTATTTTTATTTTGTTTTCTATAAATTATTTTCACACCAAATTTTGGACGTCCAATCTTCTATTAAACTCGCACTAGCGAAAATATCAAAAACATATTTTCAATAAAATAAAATAACCAAAATATCCTTGAAAGTTTCAAGAGATGTTTTGGTCATTATATTTTATCGAAAAAATATTTTTAATATTTTTCATAGGTACGTCCCAATGAGAAAATAGCACGTACCAACTTTCATATTCATACAATTTGTATAAAACAAACTAAAAATAAAATACTTTGAGAAGTCGGATAAAAGATCAAACGGTGAATGGCTCTCTAGATCAAAATTAAACGGTTGGATGGAAGAAGAAGCATAGATCTTCTATGCTGTAGAAGAAGTATAGAAACTTTTCCCTTTTATTATCATGGGTGAGGTTTTTACAAGTCACCCTTTTATAAGGGAACAATAAGGCAGACTTCTAAAAATTTGATTCGAGGTGTATTTTCGTGTCGAAAACTTTATTATTAGATTTAAAATCTATTTTTATCCTTATATATGAAATTTAATATTTTCAAAATAATATAAATAGAGAAGCTTTATAAATATTTACAAATCCTGAAAATAGATATTTCCAATAATTTGTTACTATTCCTATGTGAGAGACATCAGGTTCTATCAGTTGTACATGCTACTTGTGTTAATGTTGGTACTGGGGAACGACATTCATTGCTTACAGCTCCATCCCAGTAGCACTAGTTTAGCAGATGGTACATGTCTATCCGTTGAACCAATCTCTTTTTTCGAGATTTACATTGCTGCCTCCCGTAGGAGTCTAGGCCGTGTCTCAATCCCAGTGTGACTGATCATCCTCTCGGACCAGCTACTGATCATCGCCTTAGTAAGCTATTGCCTCACCAACTAGCTAATCAGACGCGAGCCCCTCCTTGGGTGGTTTCCTCCTTTTGCTCCTCAGTCAACTGCGTACTACGACCGGTCGGAAACTCGTCTTTCCCATTCAATCCTTTAAGCATCCGCTCCTATTGGGTGGTCTTTATGGCTACAATGGTGGGGGGCTATTGTGCTCTCGATGGCGTTCTCTGAGTCCATTTCTTGTTTTTAAAATGACTTCTTACTCTAGTTGTTCCAAGAGTCTCCACCAGTTGAATCGCATCCAATATAAACTCCCAATAAAACTTATCCCCTTCGTTAGTTGTTGGATCAGGATGCTAAACCCTAGGTCCCTCAACTTGGAATTGATGGCGGAGCATAGGTTGCAAGCAGGTATATGGATACGATGATTTAGCTGCAGACTCTAGCTCTCGCAATAATTGCATGGGAGTCGTCCTCGGAGGGACTTCCCAAATGACTGTATCGGGGAAATCTATCGTGCTCCGTGCAACTATGGTTGTTGATCTTGCAGAGCCTACTCCAAGGTTTAGGATGGATTGTAGGAAGTAGGTCATATGTTTTTGTATTTCTATGAGAAGGTCTACGTAGGTGTGATTTGAATTTTTTTTTTCTTCATATCCATACATCTCGAGCTCCAAATGATCACTTGGAGGGTTCTCCAACAGTGGAACACTCTCTTCTAAAGGATTTGTTGGTGCAAATAGTATAAGATTGTGACCTTATAGATGTGCCTATAGTACTCATGTTTCAATCAGATGAATGTTAACATAGAGAGAGATGAGAAAATGGAGGTCATCGGAGGAATTAATCTTGAAGGAGATGTTGTAGGCCCTTGGGTTACGGTGGAGCATATGGCATTTGCATTACCCCAAGTTTTGTATAGGCACTCTCTTCTGTTTGAACAATCAATCCAGAAAAATAATAATTCCATTTGCATCTTAGATATGATTAAGATAAGCCCCTCCAACATAGAAATCTCGAATGTACATGAAGGAACGGTGAATAAAAGTCGTGCTCTTGTTGTAGGTTCTTTTTGCCACCATCAAATGATATTTTTGGGCTTGAGAACTAGGCAAAGAGGCCATGGAGATTATCTTATGAGCCTAAGGTAAAGATTTTTTGCAATAATAGAATCTTGTTTTAGCTGGGTTCAGAAGTTGATGCAGAAAAGGTATTATCTCATATCCATTGGAGAGTTAGGAGTAGACTTATGTCTCTTGAATTATGGAGGCTAAATATACATAATTCCTTCATTCCTAAATCTATTTCTTGGGTAAGGTTTTGGGGTATCCTTTTATATACCTAGAACATTAGTGTTTTTCAATATTTGGCTAAATGTTATGATGAATTGTAGAAGTTGATTGGAACCTTATTCAAAGCAATGATTTATCGTGTGTGAGGGTCAAGGTTCTTAGTAGCAATGATGCGCCTTTCCTCAAAAAGATTAGGCTAAAGGTTGGCTCAGATGAGTTTCTCATATGAGTTTTGGGTTGAGGTGATGGTTAAAGGGCATCATTTGAAAGACCATGTGGCCCACAATAAGGTAGTGGCCCAGGGCAATAGCAGTTATAGTGATAAGGAGGAGTGGACTGTAGTTAATCAAAGATTGGGAAAAGGTTCTTCCAAGAATTTCAAAGTGTACAAGACTCAGAAACCAAAGACAGCAATGGCGACCTCAGACAATTCTGCTGTAGAGAAAAATAAATGAGGAAAACGTGGACCAATCACAAAGGTCCCTAGTGCGAGGTTCTTTTTTTTGAATCACAATTAAAAAAAGACAGATTGAGAAAGCTGCCTGTCATATTGATAACATAAAATTATCTTAAAATGTGCTTATGTTACCTCTGTGTCATTTAAGTTAATTAATTCAAGCTCTAATTCTAGTCTTATTGGGTGGGCAAGGGACCTAAATGTCCTTTCTAATGTTGTGAAAGATAGTAAGGTCCTTAAGGAAGATTTAGTAGGGGGAGTTACAGTGATTAAAAGTAGGATATCTCCCATTGATTTGATTGAAAAAGGCAAGAACATAGTAGTTGGGAAGGCAGAAGTGTCCCCCCCCCCCCCCCCCCCCCCCCCCCTTGACCCCTACAGTGCCTTACTGGATTGCGGGATCGCGACCGGAGGTCGCGAACGTCACTCAGGTGGGAGTGGCTCAACGCGTGTTAGAAGTGCGTAATCAAAGCAAACCATGAAAAAAAACTAAAATCCAAATAAGACAAATATTCAAGAAAAAAGAAAATTCATAACCATTTATACATTCATTCATAAAAAATGCTTTTACAATCAGTTCAAGGCACTACTGGCCCACAAAACAAAGCTATAAACACCTCAACGACGCAGCCACTAAACATCTACTTATGAAAAACTTCTGTAGGATCTTTTCTCCAAACCTCCAAGCTTCACACGGTCGGTGCGCAAGCCCATTGTCCGTCCTTCAAATCAAGACTATCACTCTACAATCATGGGAAAAAGGGATGAGCTAACAGCCCAGTAAGCAGATCTACACCCTTGCATTTCAACACTATAAACGATGATAGCAGTTAACAGTGCTCACTAATTTACAGAGATATTAAGAAAGTTCCCTCTATGATGCTCTTTAATACTCTCACAGTATAAGAATAAACACAGTTCAATAATTAGGAACATGTAGTGCATAAATCATAAATCATTTCATTTTAAGCAGACATTAAGACTAATAGTTCACGCAGTGAGAGCTAGAGAAGCCTATTCTTGAAATAGAAGTTTGGTAGATCAGGTCAAGCAAATCCTGTAGCATGGAACCTCTACCCTCGTTCAGGAGAGATGACAATGACAAGTGGGTATCCCATTTCGTAATGCCCTCACACACACATGTCCCCAGCACGCTTTAGGGTTTTCAATAGGCAATGGCCTTGCAAGACACGACTCTCTCCTTATGCTCTCTAGGCGAGAGGGCATTACACTACCACTGGGTGTTCCAATGCATAGTGCCCATAACATTTGGGGGGAGCGACCCATCCTATTACACGGTTCCCTTCCCAACCCCAGTCCTATCATTGGGGTCGAGGTATAGTCAACAGTTGTCGACAGAGCAGTATCCAACCACCAATGGGTGCCCTATTGCATGGTGGTCAGTACCACAGTATCTCACAATATAAAACAGTATCACATTACCCACTACCAATGGGTGGCCCATTGTGTAATGGTCAGAGTCAATATCAGTCCGGCTTATCAATATCACAGTGGCATATTCATAGTGTCATCGCATCAGTTACACAATATGATAGTAACCGTATCACTTAATGATAGAATCAGTTTGACAGAATGATAATATCAGTATCACAGAATGACAATATTAGTATCACTGCTCACATTTCCTGTAATTTCAGGCAGTGATGTCTGACCATAAATAGGGTCATAACTTTCAATCTGTTAGAATTTGAAGATGGTTCCAAAACCAATTTTACACTAGGCACACCTATCCTTTAAATGGGGTGGTTTGAAAGAAATTGGACCTTGTTTGGCATTTCAAAAGTTTAAAGCAATGGGGGTGTACCAGCTGTTTTCTGTTGTACACCTAGGACAGTGACATATCTCACTTAACACTATTGTAACATTCAATTCATAAAGTATTTCAAAGTAGTTCCAAAACCAAAGTTCAATTCTAAACATGT